GGGGGGAGGTTAGGTAGCTGCGCATTCCAGGCGGGAGATGATAAATTGGTGCACCGTCAGTGGGCTGTCAAGTGGGGGGTTGGAAAAGGAGCTATGCAATGAAGGCAATAGCTTGGATGCAAGAGCGCCATTGAGGGCGCGACTGGACCACGTCAGACAATGTCTCTAGCCATTGATGTGGCCGGTCTCGTAGTCTCCATCCAGGAAGACGGCAGTGACCAGCGCAACTGATTTTGCTGGTAATGGCTTTTACACTTCACTGCCAAGTCATTGTTTGACCGCCTCTGGCCCTCTTCCACCCTCCACGTGGTTGTACGAAAAGAGCCCTTCGAGGAAGTCGGTCGAGTGGCATAAGCAGCACGTGGCCAAGCCAGCGTTACCTATGCAGTATGATCAGTTCATCCATTGACCTTCTCATCATCAATTTATATCTTATGTTGTTCCGCCCAATCCCATTGAGATTTCCTTGCAAGTCTTTGATTTTCAAGGACGAGTCTCAGATTCTATCAATGGAAACATCCGTAGGAAGCATTTATTAGGTAGTTCCAGAAAATTACTTTTCCAGACGAAGGCTGATCATCTCGGATAGACTCCGAGAAAACGCCCATCTCCGAACCTTAAATATGTGTTTCTTCTAAACAATATGAGCGCTTTGCCCGACTGATTCTCACCGTTTGATTTAAATACCGTTAGCAAACAGCCAGGACCACGCAACAGCCTACATAGGCTAAATTCAGCATTCGAATTTACTGGGTTTACACTCAGCTGGTTGACTTAAATCCCTAGGTTCATCTGGGATGTCAGCCGGTGAACACTACGTTGCATGTTAACGTATTGTCTAGGATTTTCCCCGGTTTTTGCGGGAACGAGTCAAGCAGTTTTTTTTGCCCTGCGTCTAATCACAAATCAATTAAAACCAACCAAGAAAAAAAGCGCCAAGGTATCTTTCAAAATTTTGTTTGCCTGATATCTTTGTAATATTTGTGTAATATGTACGCAGCATATATCGTGTGGGTTATGTATGAAATATATTTATATTAGCACGTGTGTATCGGTTATTAATTACAAGCGGCCGTGTATTATGCGCACGATAAGCCTGGTCCGTCCCGTTGAGATTAGTTGGTGAAATCGCGCCAACTGCAAAAGACAATCAGAACAATTACCACCGCATTTACTGATTCTGGCGAAAGAAACATTTACTGTTTGTGTGATTACATGGGGACTTCCAGCGAAGTATAAATATTTGTAAGGTTCAGATTTGGAGTTATATTGATCTACAGAACAAGCTTGATTCAGCAATGAGATGGGCATGGAAATGGCATTGGAGCAGCGTGATACTTAGTAAATTAGATTCAGACACTGCAACACGATGAGCATCGTTGGAAATTTTTCCTTAATCTTTGCTCAGGTCGTGAGGAAGAAGCGAAAAGCACCATTCGCCTTTTTTCGAACTTGTTGGGAGTCATCAGAAGTACGCAGCCCTCGAACCTGCAGGTCGACTAGAGCCCACAAACTTTCCGTAACTTAGATGATTGCACTGAGTTTGGCCGATTAGCAGTTGATTTTTTCCGCCATCTAAGCTACTTTGTGTTGTGTTAGTAGCTAGAGGTCAGTTGGAAATTTCAGGGAAGATTTGTGATTCCGCTTGAACATTGTTGAGATGAGATCATAACAGAAGCATTTCGCAATGCTTCTCGGATTTTCACTTCGCATAGAGGAATTCAGATCAGCAACTGGTGACCGAACTCTCTAGTCTTCGAATACAGGCCTGGAGGTCGCTGGTTGGAATAGGACCAACAAATCAACAAGTTGCGGCCAGCTGGTTATGCTCGATAGAGAAGAGGCAGCTATCCCAAGTGTTACGTCATGTCTCACGACTTATTTATCCAGCAGCGTATGTTTTACCCGGAAATTAGATCGTCTGCAGATATATTTACTGCAAAATTAAACCCCCAAATACTAGGAATCCTTGTCGTGTTTAACTCTATTTCATACTCAGGTGTTTCCCGAACACAGCAAAATAAATGAGTGACGATGGTGTTCATTTTGAACAGTTTGGAGAGGTGTTCATGTTAGCCTGGACTGCCTTAGTTAAAACGATAGTTACATACTTATGTTTGGCTTGGGGCGCACTACTGAGACGAGTGACCCTATCCGCGTCTATCCGCCCAGTTTATACAGCACGTTAAGTAATATCGGCAGGCTGTTGACTAGGGTTCGCGACCATTGCGCAGGCGCCATATTCAACTGCCGAACATTTGTCAGTATGTGGCATGGGAGAACTCACTGGGCTGTGGATAAACTCTTGTTTATAACAATAGGACTGCCTCCCGCTGTTTTGAAATAAAATTGTTGCAGCAACGGCACCGACGAGCTCACCTGAGAAACATTACGAGTACGTTCACAACAGGAAACCAGGGTAGCAATAGTGATTTGATTGAAATCCCTGCGTAGAACAAAATAGAATGCCTATAAATAGTGATAAATTGCATATGTAAACATAATTATTCTGTAAGAAGTATCTTGTATTTCGGGTTGAAGTTCTAGGTGGATCAGGAATAAACCGGAAATTCTGTCAACAAAATCACCCTGCAATCCACCTCTGGCATCCGTAAAATTTAGTCCAACTGGCGACGTAGTTGAAAGAACGGAATGACGATTGAGTGATGAGCAACGAATTCCTACTTTCTGCAGTGTCACCCCACCTAATGGACGAACCAATAAGCTTTTTGTTCAACAGCTTTTCCAAATAAAAAGATGGCTTGCCTACGGAGCTCTTGTGACCAACCCGAACGAGGACAACTTTCTCGACGGCATGAACGATGCCCCGACGGATGTGCGGGCCAAGTTTGAACCTTGTAGTTGGCGGCGATGAATTCCTTGATGGTCGGAAGTGATGTGCCCTCGCGGTCCTTCGCGGCGTTGATGGGGGCTTTCATCATGTCGATTAGCGGCGACTGGTTCACTGGGATCCTGAACTTGCGCGAATTGGCTTTCTTCGAAACGGTTGGAGCAGAGGCGGACGCACTCATTCGCTTCGTGAGACGTTTGCCGCAAACGGATACGATAACAATACACGGTCACAGTTCCGACTGATCCCGTAAAATCTCAAAATAGACCAATATGTATATGTCCATAAATTTTGCACCAACATTCAGCAACAATTCCGTGTTTGATACCTTGTTCTGAGAAGTATCTTATTATAGCTTAAGTTGAATTTCAAGACAGATCAAGAGCAAACCGAACCGAAAATAAACAAAAGTATAAGCCAGGCAATTTTATTTAATAATTTCAGTCCAGGGTCAATGTAAAGATTTGTTTGAGAAGGTGGAGTGGCGTTTAGCTAACATTTCCATACACACAAACAACGAATCCACTGTCACCCCACGTAAGCGATATACCGATGAAATGAAAAAGGTCTGAACAGGTACAGATTTTGCACAGGAAAGCAAAACTCTCATATGCATCTTGTTTACCAAACTGGATGTACATCTTCTCCTTCAACGCGGCTTCTAGAATTTTCCTGGATATTCCTTGACTGTTACTCAAATGCAAGCAAATGCTACAAAGCGACTACACAAAAATTCAGTAAAAGATTTCACTTTTCAGGAGATACGAAGCGGATTTGGGTGAAACATACTACTCACATACATCTTCACTGGTATCAATGGTTACATCAGTAAAATTTTGTTCAACGGCTATTTCTAACTATAAAAAACCGGTCGCTAATATTGCCGAAGACTTAAAATAATGCAAATCATCGTTTCTGTGTGAACACGAAAACGTAAAAACAAATTGTAACCAATGGTCAATACGGGTTTTTTCGAAAATTCGTTTCGGTGTAGCACCAAAGTGGTAGATGCAAATCGGGACTCTCCCCCTCTGCAGCAAGCTATCCGTCCAGGCAAAATAGACGGCCAATCGTTTGGAATATTTCATTTACGACATGGTCTAACTTTACCTATGGTACAAACATGAGATGTGAAGCGAACTTAACAAGGTAGGCTAACTGCTGTTGAAATCATACTACTGAGCGCACCAAGTAGTAGAGAAACGCGCAAACCCGTGGTACATAAATAAAAACGTTTCTCATCAATCTTTATACTCACATTTCTACCAGACTATTTTTTTGGCAAAATTCGGAGGGATTATGCGTATAAAGAATTCCCATACTCCAAAAATTTCAGAACCTCTTGGTATACTGATCGTCCTCTGAGGGGATTTGTAAAATAAACAAAAACTTGTTCTACATGTGTACGCCATCCACTTACTTACCCTCATTAGTGGATTCTGTTGAGCGCGGCATAATTAAAGTGTAAAAAGAAGGGAATAAAAGTGCAGATAGCACTTATTGCAAAAATTAGCCAGGAATACTTCTGAACCTCTCCACGACATTGACAAAATTCTCTGACACTATAGTGGTGGCTATGCCAGACTGTGAATCGGTCTGCCTGGCGGATTTCTCCTTTCACCAGAAACCTTTTAAGATATTGAGTAAATATTGAGTAAACATGAGTAAATATCAGTAAACATGCGCAGAACACGAGTAGATATCGACAACTGCCGCTTTTAACTTCACTTTCATACAGTCAATTATCATATTTCATGCGGGTGGTCACCAACTATTCGGAAGTTTGCGCAACCTTGGTGGATGTTCGGCTGGAAACACCAGCGTGGAACGATCAACAAGGCCAATAACACAAAATAGGTGATCACTGAACAAATAAATAAGCTAAAACCCAACTGTTATCGCAGCATACACAAAACTGGTGAGATGTCTTCTTTACAATTGGATCTGAATGGTCCAAAACACTAAATTGGTGTCATTAAACTCATCCAGTTTCCACTGATGAAACTACTCACAAGGTTGCTGAAAACTCCTCGAGCAGGGCGAAACCGGTCTTAAGCTGTCGACGAATTTGCGGCAACCTTATGTGTAGTGCACCGTCACACTAGGGGAACATAAATAAAAGTTAACCGCATGACGAAACCTCAAATTTCACGTCAGGCGATAACGTATGAAATTTATAAATTACGAATTATATGACAAGTACAAAGATCAAATTACGGCTTTACCTAAAGTCGAAATAACTGTGAATTTCATTTCGAATTCTGTTTTGTTAAAAACACTTTCTCCATTTTTCATCAACTTCTCATAAGATATATTTTTGTTTGATCAAAGCATTAAACTATCAGAAACGATCCGGTGTTTCGAGGACTCACTTACGTTTTACTGTTATTGTCCGCTGAAAACTGTGTATTTCCGTCCCGTCTGGTGTGGAGAATGTGCACGACACTGTGAAGGAACTCGGCTGGTTTTGATAGCGCTGAAAACTATTTCCGTCCCGTCTGGTGTGGAGAATCTGCACGACACTGTGAAGGAACTCGGCTGGTTTTGATAGCCTTGTGCATTTGTTTGGGTGATTTTCACCCGCTTCCCGCCTTCCAACTCAGTCGCCACGGCCGCTCCCGCCGGCTGCACCGACGCTTTCCATATCCCATTCAAGGATTCGGCAGCGTCCAATGGAACCAAGTCGCACTGAAATTCCTTGGTGGAACCAGCCATCACCTCCGGGTTCCCACTGTTCGCTCCGTCCAAAGTTCCGTCCATAGTCCTAGCTGTTTATGCAAACGAGATACGAATTTAAAAGACATTGTTTCTTTGATGTGTTGTTCGGGAATCTGAGATTGGTTCACACATATCTGCTGAAGAAAAAATAACTCACGCAAAATCCGGAGATCTAACGTTTGTACCAGTGCGTCGGACAGGTTACCAGCCGGTTCATGTTTGC